TTTTTTTTTTTTTTTTTTTATCAACCACTGTTTCCAATCATTTGGTGCTTCCTGGAATTCTCATCTCACTGACAGAAATCAATTGTTGTTGTAAAATGAAATATAATCTGACTCAAGGATGAGTAAAAAAGGCCATTTCTACTCAGCCATTTTTCTGATCACATCCACATTTCAAGCAATCCTGAACCAGCCTCATGTGTTCAAGTGCTCCGCCACCCAGGCGGCACCAGTGTTTCACACCTGGGGAACTCCCTTCAGTCTACCTCCCACAGATAACTACACTATGCTCTCTCAAAGGTCCAGAGTACTACGTTAGGAGGGAGGCTACCGGCCTTCAACTCACCTGTGATCGGGAAGGAAGACTGGCCAAGCCGCTGCTGAACTCCTTTCAGCACTTCTTCAATCTCCTTCTGGATGTTACAGACCACCTCCTCCATCAGTCCCACATCAGCTATGCCTTTCCAGAACATCAGCGTGTCCTCTGGCATAGGAAGAGGAAGAGACAGGAGGGGGAAGAATTCGACACGTACAAGCATTTGGTATTTTCCCGCAAGGCTACATTAAAATCATTCCAAGAGCAGCGAGCTGTCATGCAGCAGTAACTTGGGGAGCCGGCTTCTAATCTGGCCATCAGGGTGGATATGACATGCAAAAAAAATAAATAAAAAAAATAAAAATAAAAAAAGTGGAACTGGGAGGTCAACATCACTAATGAGGACTTTCATACGGCTTACGACTTTAAAAGCAGCACTTCACTACCTCTGCTTCTCTGCACAAGACACAGAGCTTATAGTCTTCACTTGCTGGCATGAGGGAACTCTATCTAAGCTTCTGGACTGGTATCAGGAGGGCCAATGAAGCACCTACAACAAGAGTGCAGGGAAAAACTGGATGGTTCAGAGGACTGGTAACAAGTGGCAAAATGTCCTGCCTCTAGATCCCTAGCTTGAATCCAGCTGAGGCCACCAGGGACTGAAAATGGTGCTTGTCTGATGTTGTGTCCCCAGCACTTTACACTCTCCTAATTCAGGCTGCACTGGGGGAAATGAGTTGGTCTCAGTCTTGTTTCTGGGAGACAGATGTCTGCCCCATTAAAGAGAAAAAAATATCACTATATCATATCCAGCACTAGCCAGCCGGGTCAGTCATTTCAGCAGAGACCAACAGCAGAATGGGCTTGAAAGAATGAACTCACCCTCCCACTCAGAGCGGCTGGGGAGATCTATTCTGGCAGGTATTACAGGCGTACATGGCAGGGTGAAGGGGAAATTCGCATTACCATTGCTTGTAGCATACCTGGCCTTGGGACTTTAGTCTCCAAGAGTGGGAGGGGGAATGGAAACAAGTGGCAGAGACAGACAGACAAGATGACCTTACCCGAAATCTCATCGTTGTCTTTCTTCATGCCCTCCTCAGTGGCCATGGTGACAGCAGCTGTCAGGGCAGAGTTCCACTCAATCCCCTCCTCCATGCTCTCCTCAGAAAGTGCAATCTGGGTGATGCTCCCTGCAGGAAAAGAAATGTCAGCTGTCTCAGCAGCACCAAGTCTTTCACTTACAAATCCTTAGCTTCATGTGTACACTCCTAGTGTTTTTCACTCTCCTAATTCAGGCTATTTGCGTCTGGTGCCTATATATCAAACTTGTTAACAGCAGAAATTGTTTATTCACAAACATGATTTCAGAAGGAAAGTCACTAGGGTTCTTGGATGGAAAGGCACTCACATACCAAAGAATAAACCAGAGATGTTTTCTGATGAGAAACACAAGGGAACAAAGAAAATAAGAGACACCTAAGGAGAAAACTGGCGAGTAGCCTAGAGATTTCTCTGCCCACCACAGTTGTAAAATAAGTTTCTCTGCATCAAATCAGACCATGGCCTATCTAGCCTGGCATCACATCTTACATACCAGCCCTCACTTGAGATAGACAGGAAAGTAACCAAAACAGCAGCAGTGCTGATGGGCTTCCTTACTGATCTCTGCAAAGAAAATGGCTTATGCAGCAACTCACGCAATTTAAGTTCCCTTAGCATTTCCTGTTAAAAACGCTATTCATCATGTAAAGTCTCCAACCACAGGATTTGAATCTTTGACCTTCCAGATAACTTTAAACATCTGACTCTGAAGGAGCCCTCAGACGTTATTTTTACTTTGAGGCATGAATGGCACGTGCCCCCAGCGGCTGGTGGGAAACAGCTGTGCCAGCACCAGCAGGAGCCCAGCAGCGGTGACGGAAGCCCGGCGCCAGTGAGCAGGGAGCTCCCACAGACGCCGCCGGCACTATCGGCGGCGGGGGTTAGGGGGGTGGCAGCGAGTGCTGACCACGGGGTGGTGACCACCTGCAGGCACCAGCAGCAGCCAGGGGCAATCATGGACTGCCTGCAGGGGGTGCCTTTTTTTGCAGGGGGTGCATGTGTACCTGTGTGCACCCCCTACATGTTGCCTCTGCTTTGAGAGCCACTTAATGGCATCACCAGTGCAGAAAGACATGCATCATGTTTGTCAACGGCACCAAAAGCCAGGGTGCAGGGGTGCCACGTGTACTGTGTGGAAAGCAAATCAAGATGGTAATATTACAGGTGGAAACACATTGCCAAAGAATGAACTAGGAGTCAGATCATAACTGAATGGTTATGCTTGCTTATATTGCAAGATAAAAGACCCACTCAGTATCTAATCCTTTCATGTGGCATTGTAGAGAGGCCCTCAAATATAACACATCTCTGGAAAACCCCTAGAAGTAGGCCTTTCTCAACACTTTGCCCATACTTCAGAACTGATATTCAAAAGAGATGGGTTACCAATAGGTTTCTCAAAGCCATCTCTGCTCACCACTGTGCACTGCTGTCATTTTTCAGTGCACCTCTCTAACAGATACCACTCGTCTTCACTCCAGGCAGACACAAGAACATTTAACACTCAGAAACCTTTTGCAACACCTCCAGTGCTGGCAGAAAATAGTCTCAGGTGTGGGATTGCTACAGGAGAGAACTGGTGTTGCATTGCTTTAGGACAGAGGGGACAGAATGAAGACAGAGAACACTGGATGATCTCACTCAGCAAGCAAGGCATGGAAGGAAGGAAGAAAATGCTGCAGGGTAGCATGTGACACCTCTAGCTGGCGTTATGTCCCCTACCATCCGCTGATGTGGGAGTTTGCACCACGCTTGTCTGTTGCCCTGGCACTGGTGCTCTGGCACTGCTGATCAAGAGATCAAACTTGGTGCTTCGGCAGGTGTTGGTGCAAACCTTGTCATGCTGATAGAAGTCGATCTGCCCACAGTCCATCATCTTCCTGTACAGAGAATAGGGAGAGGACCATACAATGAGGTTGGCTTGGATCTCAGCCTGAAGAAACCGACAGGTTCAGGCATGGCTGTAACAGTGGGGAGAAAAGGGAAGAAGAGGAAACCCATTTCTTCTCCCCATGTAGTACACCCCCTTCCTCCAAAGAGATCTGAAGTAAGAAACAATGACCACAATGTCAAATTGTCTAAAGTTTTGGCACTGGGACCACCCCCCTGTTCTGACCCAAATGGCCTGCTGCACTCCCACATCCACATTTGGATCTTCACCATGCTACCTCTGGGACACAGGGTGAATTCCTGGCCACAGTGGCAAAACATGATTTTGTGCCGAATGTCCTGCAACCTACTGGTTCAGTAACAGGAATGGTATGATTTTGTCTTGGTAAAAAATGTAAATGGAAAACACTGAAGATACAGAGGCAGGTGAAATTCCATCCCAGGATTCTACTGCTGCAGTGAGAAAGCTGGTGGATGGTCAGTACCTCAACATGATTCCTCCAAGGCGAATGGCTCTCTTCCAGTCCTTCAGGGTGGACTTGCCAGCCAGGTGAACAAAGTGCTTAGGGCTGATCAGCTGGTCATTGAACTAACAGATAGACAAGTACAGAGAAGTTAGCTAGCCAGAGGGAAAGAAGGAAGGATCAGAAACCAGGAGAGAACAATCTCTCTTGGGTGTGACATTTGGCCATTCTACAAACAGACCACTGCTCACTTAACTTAATCCACAGTCTTGTCTCTAACAGGTATTTCTGCTGAAAGCAATGCCCTAGCCCAACCTTCCATTATTGGATTTGGCCAACCATGCTATATTGGGAGTGATCAGGGAGGTGTTCCTTTTGATCTCCTCCCAGGAGATCACTCTTCTCTGTACATGATTTGACTCCACCACAGAACACAATTCAATACATTCACAGGAACTATTTGTGACTTGGCAACCAGTGGACCATTCACATGAGCCTCTTAATCCTAACACTTTTTCATGTTCTGGATACAGCTTTATCACCAACAAACCAAATTCAAGGCTACCATAAGTTGGTGCCTTTGAAATCAGTGGCACTTACTCCCTAAACCAGCTCTTTGCATCAGATGGCTTTCCATGTCCATGTGACATACGTGTTACCCTTGGAGGGTGCCCTCTATTTTACCTCCCTGGAATAATTAAGATATGCCCTCCTATAGCTCTGGAGGAAAATCATCAAGCCACAAAGAGCACATCAGCTAGAGGAATCAAGGAGCTCTGCATTTGGTAGTTCTGACTTGCAGAGCTTCCTAGAACATACAGAAGAGTGTACTGGGATCAAACTCAGCAGCAACAGCATTGAGGGACCTGCCAGAGGGATCTCTCTTTGCCTGACAGCAGGGTGTGCCAGTAAAAGTGATCTCAGTACCCAGGAGGAAGAAGGGGGCATACACATCTTCAGGACTATTCCCAATAACAGTACTTCAAGGTAACAAGAGGGACAAAGAAAGGTAGGACATTCAACAGGAAACAAGGCAGACAGGGTGGGTGAAAACCCACCTGATGCCACTGTTTCTATTGTTGACACTGCCTCTCCCAGTGAGCAAACTGACCAAAATGGTCATGTTGCCAGCTCCAAATAACATCCAGTGCATTGGCCCAGGCAAAATGGAGGCAGTGAGAAAAATTCATTGGGAGGAAGAGGTTGGCCTACCACACTCCTAGCCTCAGAGCACTGGGGTGATCCAGCAAAGAAATTATGCCCCATTATAGCAGACAAGTTACCTTAACACACTTGACGTTAATTCCTGGACAGACAAACTTCTTCCAAAGGAGGATGGCTTTGCTCTCACCACAGGTGATGGGATAAGCAATCTCAATTTCCTCATTAGTTTCAATGGTGCTTGGGTCTGCAGGCAAAAGCAGGGAGAAAATTAAACTTTCCCTTTTTTTTTTTGGAACTTTGACTCCCAAAGGCAGAGATGCAGGGCACAAGCTGAGGGATGTTCCTCTTAATGTGCAACAAAGGCTCCATTCTCTCACAGTAGGTGACTTCCCTCTAAACAAAAGCTTATGTAAAAGTGGAATCTGTGATGAGTTCTAGTAGAATCAATCAGCGCTGTCCATGAAGAAGTCACAACAGGGCAAGGAGTAAAACACAACCCTGTGTTCCAGACCTCAATAATCTGTTCCCTCTAGATACATACATAAAACAGAAAACTAGCATTAAGATCTGTCCTGCAATTGGGAGGGGAGACCTTCCCCATATATTATGAAATTCCTTGACATAGCAGGGGGACACAAAGCCGGCCTGCTCAGCTCCTACTGATAATCACCCCACATCCATCACAGGTGTCAATTCATACAAAGAAATGTGCCAAGTCTTTGAGACTGACTAGCACTAATATTCACGTACTAATAAGATTCCCCCACAGTATGTGAATATTGACATCGGTATACCAAAGCTAGACCCCCCAGGGTGAAATCCTGGCTCCACTGAGGTCAATGGGAATCTTGCTATTGACTTCAATGTGGCCAGTAATTCATCCCCAGAATCATGCATTCAAGTGGCAACTATGGCATCCGTTATCCCTATGGGCACACTCCAAGACACTATACAACACAGCCCTGACAACCCCAGAGGGACAGAATACCCAGCTGTGAACCTCAGCTGTGAGGACTCCAGTGGCGTAAAGATGCAAGCCCAACTTCCTGTAACTCTGAAGGATTCCACACAGAAAACAACTTACCAATCCCTTCCTCAAGTTTGTGGATGGTGTGTGTTTCTACAGCTACTACAGCAGCGCTGGTCTCAGAGCCCTCTTCATAAATCCTGTTGTAAAAGTGTCCATCGATAAACAAACTATATAAATCACGGAGAAATTAAGATTCATAGCACAGGGTTAAAAAACTCAGTTCATTTTGTCTTGCCTGTCCCTTAGGGACAAAATCTTGTTTTCATAAACTTCCCCCCTCAACTCCTCCCACCACCCAGAATCATATATAAAATGTAAGCAGCACTGAAACACGCCTGGATGCTACTCTACTCCAGACCCTTAATATTAGCCCAGCAGTGAACCTGTAAATTCTCGGCTTTAGATTTACAATGCAGCTTCCCCTACAACCTCAGATACACATATGTAGCATCGTGCATCACTGCATACTTGCCCTTCATGAACACAGGAAGCATCTGTCATTATCCATATGTCATCCAGCTGAGTTACTGTTTCTGTACAAACTGGCCAACCTCCCCTTTTATGCATGTAAACACCCTCAATGGATTGCTTTCTTTAATTGTTTTTTGTAATATAGATCTTGCTTAGAAAGCAAATAACTTGAAATAAGTTGTCAGAGAATGGACAACAGAACATTGCCATTGATTGTAGCAGTCAAACTGTAGCACCATGGTTTTTTTCACAATAGGATACATCCAAGCAGATGTACAGATATATTACTATATGGGAGTGGGAATTTTTAAAAATAACACCTAGAGAAATGGATTAATTTAGCAGAGTGCAAAAGTAAACTGGATCAAGGGGCAGGATAAATAGATAAATACTGCTTGTCATGTGGATTATGCATCTATGTTCAGTTCACACTTGTATTTCGTCTCTCTGAATATTGTAGTTTAATATTCCAACCCTGCATGTTACATGGTAGAATCCACCATATAGGTGGTGATATCAATGCAATAATATTATAGATGTAGCTACATCCTCACCTACGTAAAGGATACCATCAAAAAATGATTCTAATCAAACGTCTCACATTAGATCTTAAACTCACTATATTATGTTGCAATGCTATTTTAAATCACTGCTAGAGATTTCATATTGTACTCAGTCTAATTTCTCCCTTCCTCTGTGGCTTTCAGAACAATACTAATAAAAGTGTAACCCTTCCAGAAGTGCAGTTACAGCAAGTCCCCATGAGAACTACAGTTTAAAAACCAAACTCCAAACTGCACATTACAAACCCACCCCTTTTTGCTCTTGTACATGTGTGTGCGTGCACATACATACATGCCCCTTTTAGAACATGCAAAGTTACATGGAGCACTTACCCTTGCTGCACGGGCTGAAGCTGCAGTATCACTTGGGTTTTGGTATCTTCTGGGTTCTGCCCTCCATTTCCTTCACTTGGCACGACCACCACGTCCCCAACAGGGACGCTCACTTCGGCATTTGCCATCTCTCACATGAAGTCGAAGGGTCGGGTCGAGCTGTAAACAGGCAAGCAAAGGGGCTATTTATCCTGGTCTCATAGGAAGAATGAGAATGCCACCATCTCTGGAGTACTGTTGTGCTGTGATGGTCCAGGAAATATGCGAGAAGAAAGAAGTTTAGTTCTTGGGGTTTTTTTGTTTGGCAAGATTTTTGATTAGACCAGCTGTATGGATGGGAGAGCTATGAAACTGTCCTTCCTCAGGTCTGAGATAGCACCAAAAAGAACCAAAACCTCCAAACTTGCTGTACCATCCTGGATGCCAGAATGAAAGAGCAACGATTTATGGGTTTATTGCCAATCATCCCAAAGCTATTAAAATTTGACTAGACTAGCACAAGCCGAGAGGCACAGTCTCAAGCTGAAGGTGAAGGAAGGGAAGCACTAGTTACCACAGGAAGAGTAGGGATCTTGGGCTTTTGCTGAAGGAAATAAGCAGACTGCAGAGAACACCTTCCATCTTACCAATCAAGTTTTGGGAATGTTTAATCTGGAATCACAAAGATACAGTAAACACACTGAACCATACGTACAGCAGATGGAACACAAAATGAAACTGCCTGTAGTGCCTGGTTTCTGGACCAGTCATTGCAAAAAACAGTGCCAGCTAGGTCAGAGTTAGTGTACACAGGCTGAGTTTTGGCTACAGATGCAGAAGTGCAGAGAGAGTGGGTTTTAAGATGAGGTCACTTTATTTTCCCCTAGTTGCAAGATTCCTAACAGGTATTCTGATGATATTGTCTTTTCCTATCAGTAAAATACTTGGCCCAGACCATTTCTGCTGCGTGTAAGTAGTAGCATAGGCCTGTGTTTCTGCCATCATAGAAAAAACTGATAAAGGAAAGTGTTTTGCTGAAAACACCTCTGGTATTGGCTGCGCTTGACTGGAATTTTCTCTAGGGTTCACATGGAAAAATATAAACATAATTTGATTAGCAAAGGGACTGATTTTGTTTCATTATCCTTGCCTTGAAAAATTATGGAGAGAGGAAAACAAATTACATCATTTGTATATTGTGGTCCAGGCTTTAATTCAGTCTTCCACAAATTTGCCCCAGACTGTCTGGCTTTCCCTCTGGTCTTCTACAGTCTTATCATGCATGACCTAAGAGTCTTCTCCTTTGCAAGCACTGACACGTGGAACAGCTTCCACAAAGGCTTCTACATCATTAACTCTCCCCAGGAATGATGCAGCTGGAGAGACCCATGCTGACACTAATGGACTGCTGGAGGCAGGGTTTTTTCGGTGACAGATCTCCAGCTGCGGCATTTCTTGCTAGGAGAGAGTAAGCCAAGACTAAGCCAAATCCATTTAGGCCCAAACTTAATGCACAACTGAAAAAAACATATACCCCCATTTCAGAAAACTGGATTAGTCATTTCAAATTGATATGGTGTCTTTGGATCAATATAACCTGACTACAGATCTGCAGGTAGCCATCAACTAGTGGCCTACCATGATGGGGACCATCAAGATGCTCAACACAGACCTGCTCAAAAATGCATCAGTATCTGATCAGCCCCAGCTTTAAGTACCTTCTGGCTAAGGGCAAGCAAAACTTGGGGACATCTGAACCCCAAGCCTCTGGGCTTGGGCCTGCAAGTAGGATGCCCGCCAAAGGTTTTGGAAACATCTGAAGCCCCAGCTGTGGGTGGAGGATGTTTGCCGGTAGTAGGGCCACTTATGGTTCTGGACTCTGGGATTTGGAATTAGTTTTTGGGTAATTTGGCCTCGGATACAAACTAAAAACAAAAACAAAAAAAACCACTTTGATCAGCACCAGGTTGGTCCTCTTTTGCTTTCAAGCTTTTTGTTATCTAAGCGGGTCTTATATGTGCCTAGGGGAGACAAAGCCTGAAAGATCTTGTACGAGGGAATTCCAGGAACTTTATGGTTTATCAAAGTCTCTAGGACAGGGGTGGCCAACCTTCGGCTCCGGAGCCACAGGTGGCTCTTCAGAAGTGAACATGCATCTCCTCAAATCTTTGCACAAGTGCACGACGTGACATGACATGACAGCTCTGGAAGCTGGTCACCACGTGGTTGTGCAAAGATTCGAGGAGATGCATACTAACTTCTGAAGAGCTGCAGGTGGCTCCGGAGCTGCAGATTGGCCCCCGCTGCCCTAGGATCAGGCACAACCAGGAAGAGCCATCCTTCTGAGGATACGTCTTGGGTAAGGTCTCCTGATACGTCCGAATTCACTTCCTTCGGCAACTGGCAGAACTATGCCTGCAATCCCTACTCAGCACTGGAAAAGCCCGAGGATCAGCATCGTCCAAAGACAGCGATTTTTGTTCTCCATGAATTTATGTGACTGCAACATAAGTGGATTCAGCCCCAGAGGGACGTGACAGCTCAGTTCACCTATGGCACGTCCGAGTGCATATTCTCCCGATCGCCACATTCGGAAGCTTTTCTGGCAGGCTGACGAAACTCAGCAGAACCTGCTCCCATCATTGCACAAGCTGCTCTCCCGCCTCACTGCACAGAAGTGAAAACGCCTCATGCGCCTTCACTCCTCTGCACGCAAACCCCTGCCACGTTCGCCTTCCTCTAATCCCGCCGGGGAGGGCGTCCTTTGGACTCCCCGCAGTTGAAGCAACAGGGGGCCGGACCCTTCCTCCATCCTGCGCCTGACAGACGTGCTCCTAAACTCATCCCCATGCCAAGGGTGTCGGTGGGTCGTTGCTGTCTACCCAATGCTTGTTTCCCAGGCATTAGCAACCCTTTGCTTCTCTGTGGTCTGCGCGTCCCCCAGCCTAGCGCCCCTTTGCTCTGCCGGGCTCCTGCACCCATGCCCAGGCTGGCGATCTGCGGGCGAGGGCAGGTCCCCACTGCCCCTCATGGCACCCCCCCGCAGGCAGTGGAGGCGGGGCGCTGAGGGAACCCCCCCCGCGGCACGCAGCAGCCAATGGGAGGGGCTCCCCGGAGGGAGGGGGCGTGGCCTCCCCTGCTCCCGCCCTCCCCCTCGCGCTAGGCGAGCG